TCAGGGCCGGTGCTCTATCCACTGTGCCACCTAGCTGCCCCTCATTCACAGCTTTCTTTTCTGCTCCCAAATTTAGAATCTAGGGGTGAGAGCTGCTTTATATCCCCAGGCTTCTTCTGACTTTGGTGTTGGGGGTACAAATTAAAAACAAAACCAGTCTCTGCCCTGCTCTCATGTCCCTTGCAGGAATAAGAGATGTAGGGGCAGCTAGGTGGTGCAGTGGATAGGGGCAGGTAGGTGGTGCAGTGGATAGAGCACTGGCCTTGGAGTCATGAGGACCCGAGTTCAAATCTGGCCTCAGACCAAACACTTGACACTTACTAGCTGTGTGACCCTGGGCAAGTCACTTAACCCCAATTGCCTCACCAAAAAAAAAAAAAAAAAAAAAAAAGGAATAAGAGATGTCAAACAAAGGGGCGTCAACATCAACAGGGTTGAATGTCAGACCTCGGGAGGGTCTTGCCATGCTCAAGATGGGGGTGATTCTGGAATGGTCGAGGAGAAGGTAAATATCATTGTTCTTAGAGGTATCTGAGTTTAGAAGAAAACCCCATCTCTTTAGGCTGGAGAGGAGATGGGGGAGGAGGGCTCTGTTTAAGTGAAAGTTGCTGATTCAAATCTCTTTTAACCAAAGGCAGTGTATGTAATGGAAAGAGCACTGGACTCAGAGTCAGGAGATTTGAGTTCTAGTACTATGTAGTACTGACAATCAATCAATCAACAAGCCTTTTATTAAGTACTTACTATGAGACAGGCACTGTTCGAGGTCCCTAGGGGACAAGTACAAAGAATGGAACCATCCCTTTTCACAAAGAGCTGCCATTCTAATGAAGACTACTAAGCACGTTTATATAGGATAAATATAAAGAGAATAAATTCAAAGTTGTTATTACATGCAAGGTAGTTTGGGAGGAACAGCGCTTGCAGTGGGGAGGAAAGGCTTCATGTAGAAGGTGATCTTGAATTGAGTCTTTAAGGAAAACAGATTTAGTGAGCTGAAGGTTTGGGAGTATATTCTGGGCATGGGAATGGTGAGCAAAAGGCATAAAGATGAAATGGAAGAGCATGTGTGAGGAATAGAGACAAGGCAAATTTATCAGGATCACAGAGTGCAGGAGAGGGTGTCATGGTCAGTGAGGCTGGAAAAATGGGTTGGGATCAGATTGTGAAGAGTTTTAAAAGCTAAAGAAAGGAGTTTCTATCCCAGAGGCAATAGGAGTTGATTGAGTTGAGGATTGGGGCTTGACGTGGTCACATCTGCCTTTAAGGAAAATCATTTTGGCAGCAAAGTGGAGGGTGCAATGGTGAGAGCCTGTTAAGGCAAGGAAATAGCCACCAAGAGGTTGCTGCAGCGATCCAGACAAGAGAAGAGGAAGGTCTGAGCCATGGTAGCAGACAGATGTGTGAGAGGAGGAAGCTTTAGATGAAGAAGGCCTTGTGGAGGAAGAAATGACAGGGCTTGACAACTGTCGGACGTGTGGGATGAGGTGGAGTGGGAGGGGAGGATGATGCTGAGATGACAAAGCTGGGACGCTGGGGCCTTGACAGAGATGATGAAGCTTGGGGGAGGGGAGAGATGAGTCCAGTTGGGGACATGTTGAACTTGAGATGTGTCCAGAACATCCCGTTTGAAATCTCCAATTGGTGATTGGTGATGTGGGACTGGAAGTCGGGGCAGAGACAGGACTGTGTGTGTGTGAGTCACCTGCATAAAAATGAGAGTTAAACTTTTGGGAGCTGATATGTGGTCTTTGGTAAGTTTCCACCTTTTAACATCTTAATCTCCTCTTTAAAATAAAGAAGCTAGACTAAATGACCTCTCAGGTACATTCTGTTTCTAAAACGAACAGATGTGTCACAGTGAAAAGAGCACTGAGAATCGAGTCAGAAAACTTACGTTCAAATCTCCCCTGTGGCACTTTGCTACCTGTGTGACCTTAAGCAAATAACTTCATCTCCCTGAGCCCCAGATTCCTCATTTGAAAACTAAGGGGACTGAAGTAGATGGTCATCTATCTCTAGCTCTAGTAACACTTGACATGTTGGTGCCATTTTGGGAAATCCCTGCCTTCCCTGTCTATCTCCAAAGATCAGTTGTAGTGAGTCTATCTGGTGAACTGCTTTTGTAATCCTGGCATACAGATCCCTGAGATCTCTTCTTTTCTTTCTAGATCTGCTCTGTGTTTCTCTCAATGGCCCCTGAACAAGGAGAAAGTGGCAACTACAATTGGAGACAGTGTATGTGTAAAGGGGTAGAGAATGGAGGAAGAAAAAGGAAAAGGGGAAGGGGAACAGGGGAAATATTCACTTGAATATGGAAGGATTTAGAGCCGTTGAAGGTAAGAATCAGCAAGTGGTTCTGGCCTTCAACAAGCTGAGGAGAGTGGGTCTCATGAAGAGCTATTCTTACAGTTCAGCCCTGGTGAGTTTGGGAGGAGAAAAGCTATCACACTCAGCCATTTTGAGGGGCACCAAGAAGCTAGCACAGAGGACGTACTAACAATGCCCTTTTTATCCTGCTGTCCCAACTGTGGGTAGGATGAGGTGATACTAGGGTTTCAATACCTCTTTATTCTTTGGAGATGCTCCATTTGGGGTGGTTCCTAACACTCCTCTGTAACACAGATAGGCACAACATATATGCATACATTTTTGTATGTGCTCTCTTCCCTACATGTACAAACTCATTTCTCCATATGCATCCTTGTCCGTAGTGTAGGAACTGTGACAACCTATATGAGAGACAATGTGGAAAGAGCACTGCATTTGAAGTCAGTGAACCCTGGTTCAAATTCTGGCTCCTTTGTGATATTGGTCAAATTACTTCAAATTATTTCTGTGATTCAGTTTCTTTATTTTCACAATTAAGGTGTTGGATTACCTAATTTATGCCTTCTGGGCCCTACAATCAATTCCTGTACATCGTACGGCCCTAAACAGCATGCCTCCATACATGAAACTTGGCAGTGTGGGCACACCAGGAGTGCTCCTACTGTCTCCTCCTCTCCTGGTGTATTTGCCACCCTGTAGTCTCTGCTTGCTTGGGAGCTTGCAGCTTTCAGGAAATCCTGCTCCCTTTCTTCTGCTCCTATGAACTCATCCTGAGTTGCAGCACCTAACCACCCTCCACAGGCTCCTATTTGGAAAGCACTCCAAGGGTGCAGACAGCCTCTTCCCCAGGCTGAAAGTAATTCTGGCGGAGCCAGTGACTTTGCTTGGGGACATTGCATTCATGCCTCAAATGACATTTCATACAATGGAGGGGGCTTGTGACCTTTCCTTTTCATGGTTTTTCCAGCCTTCCTTGCCTATATTCCCACCTCAATGTGGCCATCCCTGCCACCTACAGGAACTACATGAAATAACATCCCCCTGGAACAGCTGGTGTTTCTGCCCTTCTCTGCATTGCAGCTAGAGTGAACTGGATATAAGAGGCTCAGGCTTCCAGGGCTGCCCACAGAAAAAGGAGAGATGAGGGGCTTGGGAAGTCTGGGAGAGCACAGAGCAGCCTACCTGAAGGAAGAGTATATCACAGCATTTTGAAGTGGGAAGAAGGTCACTGGGTGGTGGCCAAGTCTCTGAAGGCATCCCCTACTGCTCCAGAGACACATTGGCTTTCTACTTCATTCCCAAACTGCTGGATTCCTAACCTCCTTATCAGCATATTGAACAGAAATGGCCTCTTGGCTGTTTCTTCTGGGATCTCCCATTCCAGTTTCAGCAATAATGGTGACTCCCGAACACCAGTAGCAACTTCTGCCTTCTCAATCAACCGGGGTTGGGGGTGGCTGCCTAGTTGTGTCCCCAGCTTCAGCAAGTCTGGACTCTTAGTGTGTGTGTATGGGGAGCTGGGGAAGTTTTTTTTTTTTTCCCTTAGTGGGGCAAGAGGAGGCTTGTGCGGATGGAAAAGGGAAGGAACTGTTGATAGTGGGTGCTAGAAAAAGAACCCACTCTGTATTTCAATCCTTCTGGCTTACTCCCTGTCTCTTCTTTTTCTTGCCCCTCTCCTCGTGCCACCTCCTTTTCGGCTGCTGACACCCCTTCTATTCTCTACCTCTTTTTGACTTTCTATCTCTGATAGTCTCTTTCAGTGTCTCTCTCAGTCTCCTCTCTCTTTTTTCCTATCTCCATCCATCCATCCACCCATCATCTATCTATATCTATCTATCTATCTTTCTATCTATCATCTTTCTGTCTGTCTCCATATTTCTCTTCTGTAGGGATATTTCTGCAGAACAAGCTGTTTCTCTAGCCAGCTTCCCCCATCTGGGCTCTCTTTGATGGCAGGGTAACTTCCTAGTCACAGCTTCCACTTCTATCTGTGTTGAAGTCAGAACAAGAGAAAACTACAACAGGAAGGCTGCCATCGTGGGAGTTAGCCAGCCCTCTCGTTGTTCCCCAGTCTTACTGACCCTTTCCCTTTTGCCATAAGACTCTCAGCCTCTGACCGTCTCCTGTATTCCCCTCTGATAGTGGGTGGGTGGGGGTTTGGAGCATAATCATTCTCTGAAATATTCTATCTTCCCTGCCAGGATTTGTGTGACAGGGAAAGAAGATAAAAGGAGCAATGTGTCCAGCTGAAAGAAGGCCGAGGAGGGGACTGACTGACAAGTGTTTTCTAGAAAAAAGACTTACCAAAAGAGGAAGGCCTCTTCTTCCCTAGTCCCTTGGAAAATAGGGCAAGAGGCAGAAAGGGTCTAAGACTCCAGTGGGAGGGACTTAGGTTAGTTTCCAGGAAAGACTTCCTGGGCTGTTCAGGGATAGAAACATATTTAGGTGGGGAAGCAGGGTAACTTCTTCCCTGGAGAGCTCTCGACAGAGAAGTGGTTCTTATTTGCTCAGACTGGACATGTCGGCCATAGAAGGGTGGAGGAGTGTTAGGATTCATGAACTCACAGATGAGAGGGAAGGCAAAGGAGGAGAGTGGCAGCTTTGACAGACATGAAGGGAAGGTCGGAAGGGGATAGATTGGTGGAAAGAAAACTCCAAATCCCTCTCAGTTTTCACCGATTGCAGCCTTTTGGCAGCAGGTTTAATGGTCAGGCAGACATGGTGCCTGAGTATGTTCTTACTCATTTCCTCCTTTCCCTCCATCCCAGAGACCATGAAGAGCTGTTCTCTTTCTAGCTCTGGGCCCTTGGGTGAGGCTGGGTGCAATAGAGAGGTGTCTGCCTCTGTCCAGTCTGTACCTTGTGGGGAAAAGAGGCAGAGAAGCAAGTGGTAACGTCCCAGACCCGTCTCTGCAATGGCCCTGTCAGTGGCTCTGGTGATTGGTTTTGATAGTTAAGTAAAGTGAGGAAAAGATGTGATGCTAGTGATTAAGGTAGGCAATGGGTCTATTGCCTGCTTGTCTTCTGGTGGGAGGTAAGGGCTGATAGCTTTGTACTCCACTGTCAAGAGAGGATGACATCCCATAAACCTCCAGCACTCTAGAACCCTCAGAGGAAGGGGAGAATCAGTAGAAGTTGGCTGTCATTTCCAGATTGGAAATGTCCATAGAGAGAGGCTGATGGTAGGCTCAGGAGATACCGTTAGCTGACACAAGGAAGGCAGGGGCATGCTGGGGACACTTGGGTCCTGATTCTCCAGAACATCCTTTGGGGAAAGGCACTGGCCCAATTAGCCTTTTTTTCCAACTAAAACTGGCTTGTCTGGCCTCTCAGGGGGGGAATGGAAAGGGAGATCAGAAGAGTTTGGCAGTGACTCGGTTGCCCCCAGCACCCCGCTCCCCTGAAGCCCGAGGAGGCACAAAGTCAAAGGTTGTGTGATGTTTGACCCGTCCCTTGCTTTTGCTCCATAGTGCAATGAGGCCAAAGCAGAGGGTTACAGAGGTGAGGAAGGGGAGGAAGCCAACAACTAACACTACAACCAGGCCCCTGCTATCCAGGAAGAAGGGTCCTGGGGTTCCCAGAGTGGTGGCATTGGTATCAGAAAGGGTCCCATTTGGCGACTCAGTCTGGATCACCTCCAACCAGGTGCTCAGCGAGTCATTCCCGGCTACATTGCTGAGCACACAAACATAAGCACCCCTGTCTCGAAGCTGTACTGACCGGATCTCCAGGGTCCCGTCCTCGAGGACTCTCACTCGTCCAGTTCTACCCAGCCAAATCCCCTGGGGCCCTTGCCATGAAATGGTAGGAGCTGGGTCTCCATCCCCTGAGCAGGAGAAGACAGCCTGCTGCCCCTCCTCTGCACTGACTCTTCGTGGCCCAGACCTCTGAATCAGGGCTGCTCTGCAAGTGAAGTGTCCTGGGGGCAGGATGTCTGAGAAGTCCCGTAGGTTCTTTCCCCTGACGGGGAGCGGACTGGCACAGGCTGGGGGGGATTTGCCAAAGTCTAGGCGGTGGCGAAGCCGGAGTAGCCACAGCAGACGGCAGTCACAGATCAGGGGGTTGCCAGCCAGTCGCAGGGTGACCAGATTGCTTGGGGAGGGGAAGGCAGCTTCTTCCAGAGTCTGAAGGGCATTGTTGGCCACGTCCAGGAGGCAGAAGGCCGCCAAACCATGGAAAGCGTGGGCAGCAATAGAGGCAAGGTGGGCCCCTGAGAGGTGGAGCTCCTGGAGCCGTACCAAAAAACTCAGTTTCCGGGCTGGGATACTTGAGATGGGGTTCTGAGACAAGTCCAGGACCCTGAGGAAGCTCAGATGGCCCAGGGCTTGGAAGGGAACGGAACTCAGGTTGCAGTGGGTGATGGCTAGATGGCTGAGATTGAGGCCAGTCAGGCTTCCAGGCTCCAGGGCCCTCAGAGATGGCCACTGGTGGATCTCTAGCTCCCGTAACTGCCCCAGTCCTCTCAGGGCCCCAGGAGGCAGCCGACCAATGTCCAACTCACGTAGCCTCAGCCCTGTCAGCCCTGAGAGTCGGGCCAGGGCAGGCCCAGGCACAGTGCTTAAGTTGCATCGTTCTAGGGTAAGGGTGCTTAGCTTTGCCAGTCCCACAAAGGCCCCTGGTGCCACAAACACCAGGTGGTTGTCCCCCACTTCCAACTGCTGAAGGCTGCCCAGCTCTCCAAAGGCACCGTCCAGGAAGAGGACTATCTGGTTGAGGCTGAGATCCAGTAGGGTTAGGGAGGGTAGGCCAGAGAAGACCCCAGGGGCCACAATTCGGAGCCTGTTACCCCGAAGCCTCAGAGTGAGGAGGTTCCGCAGACCCTGGAAGGCCCCAGGTTCTAGAGTGGAAAGCTGGTTGTGACTGAGATCCAACTCAAGGAGTGGTTCCAGGCGGGAGAGCATTCCCCTTTGGAGGCCCCATAGGCGGTTCCTACTCAAGTCCAGGAGCTCAGTGTCTGGTGGGATCCCTCCAGGTACTGCCTCCAGCAGCCGGCTAGCACAGATCACTGCTTGGGGTTGGGAGGCACAGTCACATGCTGCTGGGCAGCCTCGGCCACTCCTTCCAGCCAGAAGGAGCAAAAAGAAGAGGGGCGGCCAAGAGGCTGAGGCCCAACGGGAAGCTATGTCTATGTCCATTCCTTCTTTGCTTCTGGAATAAATGACGATGTGTCCTTTTTTGGAAGATAGCAGCTCCAGACCTCCCTTCATTCTGGGTACAGACACAGGGTTTCCTTGGGAATTTTTGAGAGGTGGGAGGGAGGAGAGACTAGGGTTCTCAGCTTGGGCATTGCCAACATGTGGGGCACAGGATCATATAGAATCCAGGATTGACTCTCTACACCCCCAGAGTCCTCTCTGGCATCCTCTCCCCACCCCTCTGCACCCTAACCTTTATCTAGAATGGTTGTGGCTTGAGGTACCCGCCGTGTCTCTTGGCTCCACGGCTTCTGGTGGGTGCTTAGGGTTCGTTATAGCCGGCTAAGTCTGGTCTTGGTGAAGAATGTTAGGGAGTGTTCAAGGGGTGGTGTAGAAAAGTGGTTTTATAGTCTGTCCTCTTTATGCTGTGGGATCTCTATAAATTTGGGCCCCTCGGGTCCTTTATCTCTTGTGACTGTCTTCCCCAGTTACCTCACCTCTATCTCTCTACTTACCTGGAGCCATGCCTGGTAGGCAGCATGGATGGCTTGAAGTTCCATCTATAGTTTCCCTGAGTCTCAGGGGTGTGTGTCCATGGCCCAGAGCTCCCTGTCTTGTGAGGAGAGAGGCCCTTACGTCCTGACTTTATCAGCCTAGGATGGAGAAAAACGCTTCATTGAGCTCCAAGGGAGCTGTACCTGCTCTGCTTTGTAGCCTTGGAGAGCTAAGGGTCAGAAGAGCTAGCTTCTTGTTCCAGCCCTGCTATTTACTAGCTTTATGACTTTGGAGCAAGTCACTTTACAGCCTGTCTAAATGTCCTTATATAATAAAGCCTCCCTTGCTAACTTCACAAGCTGCTTGTGAAAACCAAATAGAATAGTGGCTATGGAAGCTTTTCTGAAGTTACTTCACAAGTCCTAAACATTTTTATTATTGAGGGTGGGCAGCACAGGGAGAGGGGTTGGGATCCAGGAGCTTTCCCCATGGCTTCCATACTGTTCCTTGTGACCTGACTCAGGGTCCAGGTCTGTCTCTCTGGGCTAGGGAGATCCAATCTCCCCAGAGTAGTTGTATGGATGACAGCCAATCTGCACATTAACCATGGCACTGAGTGGAGGACGGCAGTATTGAGGACTGGGGTAAAGGGCTTTCCCTACCTGCCTCCCCTCAAGAAGAGATGGACTCAGGGATCATTTGGAAGCAAGGCATGCCCTCTAGGAGCCTTAGAGAGACATTCTCAACAGCATGTCCCCTTTTTCTTATAGAAGGTAGTCATGTTAATATGTGTGAGAAAGAGGGAATGTTCAGATTATGGTCCAAGAATTTTGCTGCTCTCAGGCCCTTTAAATGGTGCTCTGATCTTGCTTTAGGGGCATCCTGCTCTCTTCTGTTCTAGCTGAGAGAGAGAAACACATAGGCAGAGATAAAAGGACACACAGAAAGATAGGAATGGAGGGAGAATGCCTAGGGAGAGACGTCAGAAGCTGGGTCACTCAGCTGGCACAGTGGCTATTGAGTCAGGCTTGAATTGGCACTATCCTAACTGCAGGCAGTCTGCAGAGCTGGCTCACCGCAGGGCCTCGGGGACTGAGTGGCCAGACATCACCCAGACAACTATAACTATGAATGACCATTAGGTAAGGGTCAGGGGTAGCAAGCAGGAGAAGTGAGGGTGGGGTGAAAGAAGAGAAAAGAAATTATCCCTTCTCTCAACTTTCCACATCGAGGAAGAACCTTGGATAGTGGGCAAAAAATGGCCAACGTGACTGAGCCCCAGGAACCAGTAGAGGTGGGCTTCAAGTCAAGGGCTTCTCCAACCCTGGCCCCCTTTTTTTGGTGCAGGTGCTATAAAGTGCAGCCGACAAGGTCAGTTCTGTTTTGCCCTTTCTGTCAATTGGAAAATGGGAGCCTGAAGAGACAGTGTCACTGTCTTGGCTTTTCCTGCAGAAGGTAGCTGCTACACTAGGCACTAAAACTCAGGCGCAATGAAATTTTAAGACATTATAGGGAGAGGGATGCAGGGAAACAATGGAAGCCAGAGCATCTTCAATTTCCAGAGCTGGCTGGGTAGTAGAGATTAACCTGACCTCTGAAGTGAACGTTTCCACCCGACCACCAGGAGGTTCACCCTGAGGGGTAACATCATTCCTGATGCTGCAGTTCCTGCCCATCCTTTCTTATGCTGTACTCCGTAGAGCTGTTTCTCCTTATAAGGCAGGTCCCCTTTCCCTTCCCCAGCCTCATTCTCAGGTCGGGGAAGGGGGGGTGGGCAAGAAACAGAAGGATTGAAGGATCTTTCCTTGGTTTATTTATTTATAAGATATCTAAGAGCAAACTTTTCTCATGATATCTCAATGGTTGCTGTACTGGCTTCCTGCCAGCTGGCAAGAGAGGAGGGAAAGGTGTCAGTCCCACTTCTTTTTCCTCCTTAAATTGCAATGGATGAAGTGGGGAGGGGGGAAGGAGAGAAAGTATAGAGAGATCAAGACAAAACATTTGGAGAAAGGATCATCTCTTCATGTTTGAAGAGATTCCTCCTTCCCAACCTCTATGCTGCAGTCTTGAGGACACATTTGATGCCAGCCTAAACTATCATGTGCCCTCTAAAAGGACCCTGTAACACCCAGATTAGAGTATATGGGTAGGGAAGATGAGGAAACAGAGAGGTAGATTTCAGGTATAATCAGGTCAGAATCACCATTGCTTGGCTAAGAATCCCTTCCCCCCCAAAAAAGGGAAAAGAGCTCCCCTTGGATTTCTTTTCCACAGGCATAGGGCACCAAGTGCCCTTTGGCTCCTCCTGACAAAGCCCATCCTATGTGCCAGCAACCAAAGAATGGGATGGTTTGGGGACTAGGAGATCTATCAGACACCCTTGGTCTACCACACTCTGAAAATGCCATGGAAATGAGGAAAGCTGCCAAAAGATAAGAATGGGGGATAGGGCTGGGACTGATGGGGAGGCACTTACCAGGGAGATCCTGGGAGCTTCATCAGGTTGGGCACTGCATCCTGTCTGGGGCTGAGTACTCCCATCCATTCTGTGCCTTTGGACCCCCTGGACCTCTCTAGCACACCTACTTTCCCTAAGGATTGCCTGCCAGTCTCTGCTGCTGCCACCAAGGTAGAGAGACGAACTGGAAAGCGTTTCTCTCTTTTTCCCCTTCTCTCTCTTTTTAAACCAACTGAGAATGAGTCTGCAGCAAACCCGTTGGTGCAAAATAAATAAATAAAGTCTTAGGGGAGGGCTGCAGCAGGAGCCACTAATACAGGGCAGAGAGAACCAGGGAGCAAGAGAGCCTATAGGAGAGCACCAGGGCCAGGGGAGGATAGCTTTCCAATTCAATAGGATCTCTCGCGCTTAGGAATACCCTTGTAGGATTATAATAAAGACTATTACAGCTGAAAGAGACTTTAAAGCTCATGTAGTCTAATCTTATTTTATGGATGAGGAAACACGATCCTCTTATGAGGTTATAGACATTGAATGTTAGAGCTGACTTGTCAGAAATCATCTAGTCCAACCCCCGAATTTTACAAACGAAGAAACTGAAACCCTTTCATTTTGGGTCCCTCTGTGAAATGTTTCAATCCCAACAGCTAGGGGGAGATTGGACCATAAGACCATTGATTTAGAGCAGGAAGTTATTTTTAAAAGGGCAAGTACAACCCCTTCGTTTTAAAGACATGGAAGCCGAGGGCCAGACTTCCAGTAATTTCGCATAGTAAGTGCCTGAGGCAGGATTTGAACTGTCTTCCTCACTCTCAGACCAGAGCCCAAATCACCACACCATACCATGGTGAGTGTCGATTATGGTGCTGATGGTTTTCTCTGGCACAGGAATGAAATCAGTCAGGTCATCTGGGTAACCTTGTTTAACTCTGGCCAATGGTAGCTCAAACATTTTTGATTTTCTCACCCAAACTGTTGCGTTTCCTGATCTCTGTCCTCCCTCCCCATCACCTTTAAAAATTACCTTATAAAGAAGGACACAAATCTAGAATTGAGTTTTCCCTTGTTACCCTTCCCCAGAAAGTAAAAGTAATGAGACTTTCAGCTTTCATCACTCCCTTCAAGAGCCCTACACCTCCAAAGGGTAGGACAGTAACCATTTGTAAGGGTGTAAAAAGTCTAGGGGCAGGATAGAGTTCTTGGGGGGGTATTTGAAGGCTACCTTCAGCCCTTCTCCCCTCTCCACCCAGAGTCTGTGGCCTGGAACTGACATTTCACAGAATGTACGATATTGTGTCATCATCTCCCCAGAACAAGGAGCAAGTCTGGTGGGTGGGACTGAGGGGATCCTTTGAGGACATGGAGATGGCGTCATCTACTTCAGACATCTCCTTGGTCTGTGCCTGGCTGTTCTTACTCATGTTGATGCCATGAGGTACAGCGGCCAAGTGCTGCTGACACTGTGCTGAGAGGTGGCAGCATCCCAGACCTAAAGCAGGAATTCTCAAGGACAGTGGAATTCAGAAGACCCGCATCATCATTCTCCGGGATCTCTGAGTACTAGGCACTTCTTCCTGAAGCCCCATATGGGTTCGATTGTGGATTTGGATAGGACCTTGTTTATGCATCTTTAAGTGTTTCTCCTTTGTATGAACACTCGTATGGTTTGTGATTATGTTTGTACCAATTCCTGTATCCCATGTATAAAGTGCGTGTGACTTTTGTTCTCATCTTCCCTTCATATTTGTCAACCTGGTGTTGTTCTCCATCACCCCTATACACTGAACTCTTGCAGTTATTATCTCTGCTCCCCCCTGCTCCATCCCTGCCCACACCATTAACACATTTAGTTTCTCCTAAGCCCCCTGAAAAGGCAGTGAAGAAATGTGGCTGCTCATTTTCTATCAAAACCTGGAAGAAAAGGATGGAAAGATGAACTTCTGGGTGATGTATAAAATGAACAGTTCCTTTTGGATTTGAACTGTCTTTGAACTTGATCTGGCTTCCCTGGCCACAGCCCTCTGGGAAATGAAATGAGGTATTTCAAAAATCCCCTCTTGGGTTCAGAGCTTAGAATTGGAATTTGTCCAGTGTGGCCACCGAGTTTCTCTGCTGCCTTGATTCGTCTCTCACCCATATCCACTGTCTGCTCCTTAGGCCTCACAGAAGCTTAGTGGGATGGGGAAAATGAAGCATCATAAAGTTGTAGCTGGTGAGATCCCAGCATCTCTTCCCTCTAGCCATCTATATTACTGCCAAACTGGTCAGTAAGGATGAGACTGCTTCAGGGAATGAATTCAATCACTTGGCCTGAATGGTAACTTACCCCAGGCCACTTCTGGAGGCCATAGGAAGGGGTAGGGGTGGGAGGACTCGGAGAAAGCAGATGATGGTTGGGCAGCAGGGAGACAACTATGGAGGGCTTGAGGTTAGGACAGGAGACTGTGGTGGGGAGGGGAACTGGCCATTCAGCTCAGTCAGATAGCACTCCAGGGGGCTCAGTTTCTGTACTGAAGAGTTCCTTGTAGAGCGGAGGGAAGGCAGCTTGGACAACAACAGGATGGAGGTGCTGGAAAGATTGCAACTTCTCCATGTGCTGGCTACATAAGCTCCGAAGCTTCCCTTTGGGTGGCAGCTGGAGAGAAGTGGGACAGAAAGGGGAGATAAAAAAAATCAGGACCAGATCTCCAGTCCTGACCACCCCTTCCTTGAAGCCAAGTGGCTTAGCTGGCTTCTGTTATCCACGATCTCCGAACTTCATCGTTCTCCCTTAGAACAGAGAGGGCATGGGAGAATCCAGGTGGTAGAGAAGAGATACTTTTTCTGAAGAAATATCTATGTTCGAGGTGACAGTGACGATGACAGTGATAGAAAGGAAAATAGGAAGTGGGGAGTCAGTATGACAAGTTCAGTGAATCGAGTCAAGTCAGATTCTTTGAACCAAGCTAGTTCAGGAGGCCTGGCAGCTCAAGTCATGGGTTTAATTACCAGGGAAGGTTTAGGAAGTAGTGAGATTAAACCCCTGGGGGCTAAATGTAAAAGTCCCCTTGGATGGGTTCCAAGGAGGAGTTGGAATCCCCCTTAACCTAACCTGGATCAATTACTCCAAAGCCCTAGGGCTGGGTCCTTGACAACACACAGGAAGATAGAATTAAAGAAATTCAGGGCTGGAAGGCACCTACAAGGTCAACTCATTCAACATCCATTTTAACTGCCTCCAGCCTAGTTTCCTCATTTGTAAAACAAGAGGCTAATAATACCTGTTGTATGGACCTCGAAGGGTTGTGACCATCGAATAAGATAACTGACCATTTAAATAGTGCTTTTAAGGTTTGTAAAACACCTCAGATAAATTGCCTAATTTGTTCCTTATAATGACCTGGTGAATTAGGTACTATAAATATTATTTTCAGGAAATGGAGGATCAGAGAATAGACCCACCCATAGTTACATCCTGAGTCAGTCTCAGGAGCAGTATTCCAAACCAGATCTTGTCTGATGCCAAGGCCAGTTCTCCATTGTACCAGCCTGCCTCAATGGTATTAGCTCATGTTTGTAAAGGACTTTTAAGAGTTGCAAATAGCTTTGAGATTACATATTATCTATAAAAGTAATTTTCTGAACTTTAATTTTTATTTTATTTTTACATATTTTTTATTTTTTAATATTTAATATTTTTATTTTTAGGCAATTGGGGTTAAGTGACTTGCCCAGGGTCACACAGCTACTAAGTGTCAAGTGTTTGGTCTGAGGTCGGATTTGAACTCAGGTCCTCCTGACTTCAGGACCAGTGCTCTATCCACTGCATCACCTAGCTGCCCCATTTTCTAAACTTTAAAAGTTATATACATAGCAGTTATTATTACTTTGCAAATGTTGAATTTGTCAAAGTCTTCATTGCCAGTAAGTAGAGACCAAGGGATTTGAACCCAACCCTTCTGATTAGGTTCAGTTGTCTTTCCCCTTGATTTGAGCCCCACTTTCAGGGCTTGCTGCCTAAGGGGAATATGTGAAAAAAATGTTGTGGCCAGGAAGTCCTTTGGTTGAGGGTCAGCTTTGAGGTGTTCAGGTAGAGTGGCCCTATCAAATACAACCATTCTCCTATTCTTCAATCACCAAACCTTTCTAGAAACTAGGCCACAGTAGCACCTGTGTGAGTAAGGATACTGGGAGGAAATGTTCCAGCATCACCCTGTCCTCACCCTGATCACCTTTCACTCCAGACAGTTTGGTTCAGACCATTCACAACCCCTGAGAGACAGAGATGGAATAAGAGAAGAACAAGTCTGAAGGCAGATGTGGAAGGATCTAAGAGAGGTAGAGGAACTGAGAAAGCCTATCTGTCCCTCAAAATCACAGAATGTTAGAGCTGAAAAAGATCTTAGAGATTATCTAGTTCAAACCCATTGCTTCATAGATAAGGAAACTGGGCCCCAGAGATTTGCTCAATGCCGTGGTGGCCGAGAAGTGGCAGCGCCAGCAGTCAGCCCCACATCTTCTGATCCCAAATCGTCCTCCCCTTAAGATTTTTGTTTGACCTTCCTGGAGATATGGCCCACGTGAGGCTCAGAAGTCACTACTGCAGTCTGGTTTGCTCTTTAGGAACGAATGCACTCCAGCCTCCATTCCCCTGGGTCTTTGGTAGCAGTGGGGCCTGTGGTTGAGAGCTGGGCTCAGTGGAGCATACAATTGTAGCGGCTCCTGTGCGCTCCCTCCATCTCCCTCCTCATAGGCAGCTAGCTCACCTACCTTAGCCAGGATGCCTTGGCGATGAGTCTTGCACAGAAGATGGTGAAATGCCAGCTCCAAACTGTGCTGCAACTGCTCCACCTTCCTTTTCTCTTGTAACCATGGCCTGTCTGGGGAGAGGAACCAGGCCACAGTGGGGATGGAGAATTGGAGCCCTTATGATAGGTAAGCCAATGTGCCTACTCTTTGAAAAGGAATGGGTCTGAGCCTAAGAGTCCCCATAAAGGGAAAGGATTAGTTAGGGGGATGGCTTTGGTAACTGGGCATGGCTTAAGGGATGCAGGAAAACCGGGAAAAACTTTGAGATGAGATACTCTCAATTCCCAGTTCACTTTATTCCATGACCTCTATTGTCCTATGGGCTAAGACTCCTGATCTATGGAGCCCTACTATCAGGGCTTCCTTTCCCATTCCATGTTTTGAATTGTCTCGAGGGATAGGGGGAAGATACCACCAAATATTTTTATTCAGTTAAAATCAGGTCAAATAAACACCAAAGTTAGCTTTGAAGAACTGAAGATGACATTAAAGGTCAACATGCTGCCTAAGGGGAATATGTGAAAACATGTTGTGGCCAGGAAGTTAGGTCACCCTACACCCCAAGACCCCATTATGTTTTATGTATGTCAGTGTCTATCTATCCCTCTAGACCATGCTTCCCCAGCTGATCTTGTCCTTTTTTAGTAATCTGGAACCAGCAAAAAAGCAAAAACAAAAATAACTCTAGATTTGGGGTAGATGAAATCAGGCACCATGATTTAGAGTCTTCTCACACATACAACATGATTCAGGGGATTGAGAGCTGGTCCTGGAGCCAGGAAGACATAGGTTCAAGACCTACCATTACTGTCATCTGACCCCTCTGTTCTAGGTAACTTTCTAAGACTATAAGTTAAAGAGAAAGTGATAGCCTCCATTGCAAAGGGAGTTTTCTCCTCTGGGAGATCACCATAGCAATGGAATCTTCAGTTCAGCTCTTATCACCTATTCTTCCACCTCTCCCCCCTTCTCCCTGCCCCCCCCTCAACTCTCCAGCTCCCACAAAGAGGTGGTGGCTCTGGCCACCTCTGGCAAAGAGCATAATATACTTTATTAAGGTAGAACTTAATTCCTAGGGACTCACTACCAAGATAAGATGTTCCATCATTTGGGGTTGTTTCCTTGAGAGAGAGAGAGAGAGAGAGAGAGAGAGAGAGAGAGAGAGAGAGAGAGAGAGAGAGAGAGAGAGAGAGAGAGAGAG